ACCCACAGTGCTACCCGCGTCCCTGTCCCCCCATATATACCTAATTCAAAATTCATCACATGATGAAATAAACTTAGTCACTACCACTACCATGTGAGCAACCCCCCCCTACTCATGCTGTCCTAATAAATAAATAAACTAAACCTAAAATAAACTTAACATAATCACACTGTTATATGCACATGGCAGTCAATTGTCATTCGCTTTTTACATGATGCCTTTTTATATGGTGCCAACTTGAATATAATATTGCGTGGGGGCAAGTAAGTCATGTCCGGCATAATAGATTGCATGACATGGCACACGCACACTGTTTGGAATGCCCCCTCAAATATTTTATTGGAGGGGTGGTGAAGGAAAACCCCTCAGACATGAAGTTATCCCTGTCATGGTTGATGTTGAAGTCCCCCCAGAGCATGTGAGGATTAGAGAGGGGTTTGCAATAACCCCTTTGTCATGGTCAGACCCTATCCTGGTGAGGTTTGTTCTTACAGTCCACAAGCAGCTGTGGTTGGGGACCCATTAAGATGATCCACCCTCAGATACCTCTGTACCTATGGACTTTGAGAGATTGCTGAATGAGAGATTGGGGATTTTCCATTATATGCTGCCAAGGCCGTAGTCTTCCTATGGATTGGCAAGATGCAGTAAGAGTCAGATGAGCAGGGAATTATTATTATTATCATCATCATCATCATCATCATCATCAGTGTAATCACTCCACTGTGTAGCCTCTCTGAGGTGTTGGATCCTGCATGGATTGCTATCATTATCATTATCAATATTATTTCTTATCAAATCTTCACCATAAGATCCAAAGGTTGAGTTACAGAAATTTAAAACTCAGTATTAAAAACTGTTTACAATTCTTATAATCAGAATTATATTGCATTGTTGTAAACTGCCATAGGATTGATGATGAAGAGGGCTATAGAAATGAAGTAAAAATAAATAATAAATAATAAATAAATAGTCCACCACCAGCACCGGAAGAGGCTGGCAAAATTGAAGATTAGTAAGTCCACCTTGTAAGTTGGCAAAGCTAAGATTTTAACTGCGATATCTCAAGGACTGCAATACCTCAAGGACTCTCCCCATATGAAATGACCCAGACCTTGCAGTCTAAGACCTTTCTTCATGTGCCTGCTCCGTGAGAGGTCCAGAGGGTGGCAACATGAGAACGGGCCTTTTCTACGGTGGCTTGTTCATTACATATCTTCAAACACCAGGCAAAAACTTTCTTCTCCCAGACCTTCAGCTAATCTGTGCCCTTTTAAACTCTCTCTCTCTCTGTGTGTTATAGTTTTCGTTTGCTACTATGTTGTGTTTTTTGTGTTTTTACATTGTTAACCACCCTGTTATCCAGAGGTAAAAGGGGATAAAATAATAATAAATACATAAAAATGGAATAAACGTAAACTGTGAACTTCTGGCTGAGCTGATAAGCAATTGATCACCTTTCTGGGATCAAGGATCAACACAATGACACCAGTAAGCATGAGGAAAACTAAGGGATTCTGGTGATTCTTCTAACTGGTCTTTCTGCTCCTCTCTATGAGCATCCCAATCAATAATAATAATAATAATAATAATAATAATAATAATATTGTAATTATACCCCACTCTTCCCCGCCACAGCTGAGCTCAGGGCGCCTAACACCAGTAAAATTACAATAAAAACATAATAGGGGAGGAAAAACCCAACAATTTAAAATACAGGTTAAAAATACAATTTAAAATGCAGCCTCATTTTAATAATAGCCCATAGTCCAACAGGGATATGTTCTGTTTTCTCTCCGTGGTCTGGTTTTCAGTACTTATGAAAACTGAGTAATAGTTCAATAATAAAATGCTTCCTATTATTTGAGTTAATAACTCTGCTTCTGAGATCTTTCTTGACTCAAATCCTTTGCTGCTTTTATTATAAACATTTTCACGTGCCACCTCCCCATCAAAAAAATCTGGCAAATCTCCACCTCTGCAGTCATCTCATTAAAGCTAGCAAATTTACAAGCCAGTGAACTCTCAACCATGTTCAAATGTTCTTGGTTCAAAGCAGAGGAGCTGGCTATCCAAATGACAAGTCTCAAACCATTTTTTCTCGAGCCACGGCTGCTTTAAATGAAAAGCATGATGACATAGATTTCCTCTGGGCTGTGGTCTGCCTGGAAACAAACAAACAAAATGTGAACAGGAGGTGGGGAAATGATTGGATCATTTCTATTAAATTAAATTCAATTAAACGTGAACAGGTGCAACATCAAAAGCGTGGTAGAGCTGATTCAGTTCTCTTGCAGTTAATGAGCTTAGTTTTCCTGAAGATTTTTCATAAACCAGACCGAGCCACTCAGACATTCAACTTGCAATGATTTACATTTCCGATGAGAAAAGATTCCATGCAAGTGAGAGAGGCAGGGAGAGAAAGAAAAACAACAACTAGCGACATAACTTGCCAAAGTGCATACACATGACCAAAAAAAGATTAACATAATGAAAAAGCTGGTTGTAGAATTAATTGTGGACACAGACTGGGAAACAGATGTAGAGGGAGTGTTGTTGCTCCCCCCTCCAAATATGATGAAACAATTGGCAAGATGGTGCCTAAGAGTATTGACTCTTACGTATTTTGTTGGATGTACAATGTGATGTATAAAAGGTCTATGAAATGATGGAGCGGGAACATTCTGCTTCTCCAAACAGGGAGCTCAAGTGAACAAGTCCCTCTAGGGTTGCTGGAGCGGGATCAGAAGCTGTCATTTATCTGGCAGGTTTTTCCCCTCCCCCTATCTGTTTTATTCTTATTATAGTATTTCCTCTAACCTCACCAAATGGCCTCAAGTGAATGATAATTAAATTCAGGCGGAGATAGCCACATGTTCACAAGAAGGACAATTAGGCTTGGCTAGAAATGGAGTCAACCATGTATTCTTCAAGCCTGGAATGATTCCCTGCCAAACCCTACACTCTCAACAAAAGCAGCTTACTCGCTAGAAGCAGTGTTTCGATTACATAAGCAAGACATAACTTAAGGCGATCAAACTAGGAAGTGCTTTCATGGCTAAGGAAGAAACCTGGAGCACATGCCTTTTCTCCTTTTGCTGAATAATGCCTTATGTTTGTTTCTGTTTTGGGAGGGATTCTGCTACAGTGGTACCTTGGTTCTAGAACTCAATCCATTCTGGAAGTCCGTTTGACTTCCAAAACCAAAGTGCGGCTTCTGATTGGCTGCAGGAGCTTCCTGCTCTGAAGCAGAAGCCACGTTGGACGTTTGACTTCTGAAAAACATTTGCAAACCGGAACACTTGCTTCCGGGTTTGCAATGTTCGGGAGCCAATTTGTTTGACAACTAAGCCATTTGCAACCAAGGTATGATTGTACTTTGCTTTTACACTAGAGGCAATTTGTGCTGTCTGGATTACAGACCCAGTGTCCCTATTTTGGGGGGACAGTCCTGGATCGGTAGAAGTCGCCCCGGTTTCTGATTTGATCCTGGAATGTCCCCTTTTCCTTAGGACGTCTCTATATTCATAGGAGGAATGTTAGAGGGTATGGAGTTATGCGAACCCCAAGCCAAGGAGATAAGTAACTATACAACCTTTGGAAGACACCTGAAGGCAGCCCTGTATAGGGAAGGTTTTTTTAATGTTTAATGTTTTTACATATGCAGGATGCTGCCCAGGGTGGCTGGGGCAACCCAGTCAGATGGGTAGGGTATAAATAATAAAATTGTTGTTGTTGTTGTTGTTGTTATTAAATGGGATGTCCCTATTTTCATTGGATAAATGTTGGAGGGCATGTGAGCGTTTCAGACAACAGTGACTTGGCAGGAAGCAGGAAGCAGCAAGAAAGTTGCTTCCTATAGCTACAGATGATACTTTGGAGGGGAAGGATTATTTTACAAGATGAGGCTAAAGGAAAATTAATGTGTACTGCCCTTAAAGGGTGTACCTCTGTATAACAGCATAGTTATTTATGGTTAAAAACAAAGAACTGCAAGGCTATGTTCTAAATTAATTATTTCCTCAAGTTGGTTGTATGCTAAATCTATACAGTGGTGCCTCGCAAGACGAAATTAATTCGTTCCGCAAGTTTTTTCTTCTTGCGAGTTTTTCGTCTTGCGATGCACGGTTTCCCATAGGAATGCATTGAAAATCAATTAATGCGTTCCTAGGAGACCGACTTCAGACCAGGTCCGGGGACAGTCTGTCCCCCGACCTCTTCTGAAGGCTGGGGGGACAAGGGCTTTCTTCCCACCCCCAGCATTTTAAAACCCGGGACAGCGGAGGGCTTCTCCGCTGTCCGAGGCGATCTTAAAATGCTGGCGGGCGGCATTTAAAATTGCCCCGGGACAGCGGAGGACTTCTCCGCTGTCCGGGGCAATTTAAAGCCCTGGGAAGGCAGGCAGGGGGACAAAGACTTTGCCCCCGCCAGCCTTCAGAAGAGGTCCTGGACCTCTTCTGAAGGTTGGCGGGGCGAAAGTCTTTGTCCCCCCACCTGCCTTCAAAAGCTGTCCAGCCAAGGCTTCGCGGACCTCTCCGCAAGCAGCGGCAGCACTGCCGCAGCTTGCGGCGAGTTGCCGGCATGCCGAAGCCTGCGCGCGCTGAGATCAGCGCGCCCAGGCTCGCGGACCTCTCCGCGAGCAGCGGCAGCGCTGCCGCTGCTCGCGGAGAGTTGCCGGCATGCCGAAGCCTGCGCGCGCTGAGATCAGCGCGCCCAGGCTTCGCGGACCTCTCCGCGGGCAGCGGCCGCGCTGCCGCTGCTCGCGGAGAGTTGCCGGCATGCCGAAGCCTGCGCGCGCTGAGGTCAGCGCGCCCAGGCTTCGCGGACCTCTCCGCGAGCAGCGGCAGCGCTGCCGCTGCTCGCGGAGAGTTGCCGGCATGCCGAAGCCTGCGCGCGCTGAGATCAGCGCGCCCAGGCTCGCGGACCTCTCCGCGAGCAGCGGCAGCGCTGCCGCTGCTCGCGGAGAGTTGCCGGCATGCCGAAGCCTGCGCGCGCTGAGATCAGCGCGCCCAGGCTTCGCGGACCTCTCCGCGAGCAGCGGCAGCGCTGCCGCTGCTCGCGGAGAGTTGCCGGCATGCCGAGCCTGCGCGCGCTGAGGTCAGCGCGCCCAGGCTCCGCGGACCTCTCCGCGAGCAGCGGCAGCGCTGCCGCTGCTCGCGGAGAGTTGCCGGCATGCCGAAGCCTGCGCGCGCTGAGGTCAGCGCGCCCAGGCTCGCGGACCTCTCCGCGAGCAGCGGCAGCGCTGCCGCTGCTCGCGGAGAGTTGCCGGCATGCCGAAGCCTGCGCGCGCTGAGATCAGCGCGCCCAGGCTTCGCGGACCTCTCCGCGAGCAGCGGCAGCGCTGCCGCTGCTCCGCGGAGAGTTGCCGGCATGCCGAAGCCTGCGCGCGCTGAGATCCAGCGCGCCCAGGCTCGCGGACCTCTCCGCGAGCAGCGGCAGCGCTGCCGCTGCTCGCGGAGAGTTGCCGGCATGCCGAAGCCTGCGCGCGCTGAGATCAGCGCGCCCAGGCTTCGCGGACCGGAGATTTCCCTATGGGCTTTCGTCTTGCGAAGCAAGCCCATAGGAAATTCGTTCTGCGAGCGCCTCCAAAACGGAAAACCCTTTCGTCTAGCGGGTTTTTCGTCTTGCGAGGCGTTCGTCTTGCGGGGCACCACTGTAGTTTGTTCAGCAGTTAGACCTAATGGGTTACAGGAAAAGTCTACCCATTTGTCTACTATTGTTGTTTTTATGAAATCTATCTTCTTGTCATGATAATTGCTCTAGCTTCATCATAAGCAAAGCATGAACTGCAAATGCTTCTAAATTATTGCAGCTAGACTAGAAGATAGAAAATTGTGCTGGGCGCCATTTATTACATCTCCTGTCTTTTGGGGTGCTTAAGTTGGTTGAGATTGATTATGCACAGGATTAATTTTGCATCCCTCCCTGCAAATTGCTATCCCTTTGCATACATTGAAAAACAAAGAACTATTCTGATGAGCAGCTTTCTGTCTCCTTGCAGCTGAGTATGCTTAAAGGAAAGGTCAACGGTTAGTTAAACAAGAATGCTGAACCAATCTTGCAAGCCTGCTGTGTTTCCTCAAAAGCACACCAGTGGCGAGGCTATTTTTGAAGGGGCTTCTCATTAGATAAATTATTTGCATTTTGCACAGGTAACTTTCTATTTCCATAGAGAGTCAACAACACTGCAGGGCCCAGACAGAGGATCCCATCTGTAAACCTGGGCAATCTGTGGTTGCTGGAGGTGCTATGCTCAAATGCTTTTATCCTTCCTAAAGCTTGTATTCATTATAAGACTTTAGGTAAGATTGGCAAGCTATAAGCTCTACTAAATATAGTAGGAAATGCTTTTGCAAGGCGTGTTCTCCCTAAAATGAGAGCACGGGTTGCGGTGTGGGCCGCCAGGGGCAGCCCTCTGTTGCCAGGCAGGTTAATGGCTATTGCCTGGGTAACGGTTGGCTGACCGGGTTGCTGGGGCAAATTGCATGTGGCAAATTGGTGGGTGGGACCATAGTCTTTAAATATTGGGGCACTCTGCCTTATGCTTTCTCTTTAGCAGAGTGCATTGGATCACCTGCCTGCCCGCCCTGTGTTCCGGTTGACCTTGCTTTGCCTGTCATGGGGTCGTCTGCCTTGGAGCAGGGGCCTAGTAGGAATTTTGCCATTTGACTGATTGGCTGGTGCCACTTGGTTTTTGCTGGTTGGGTGAGTGGTGAGGGACTGACGCTCAGCTCAACTGATCGCCGACGTTGTCTTTCCCTTCACTGGCTTGCGATGGAGTTCGGAATGTCAGTTCTGTCCCAGGTGGGGGGACAGATAGTCATAACCAATGTCTAAGCAACCACTCACAGATTTTGTATTTTAATAAAGTTGTGGCCAAAATAGTGCTCAAAAACCTTAAACTTAAATTACGTGTGATGTGTGAATTATTTTGAGGGGTGGCTTGGGGACCTGACAGTAAGAGCTGTTCGACAGTGGAATTTGCTGCCAAGGAGTGTGGTGGAGTCTCCTTCTTTGGAGGTCTTTAAGCAGAGGCTTGACAACCATATGTCAGGAGTGCTCTGATGGTGTTTCCTGCTTGGCAGGGGGTTGGACTCGATGGCCCTTGTGGTCTCTTCCAACTGTATGATTCTATGATTCTATGACCTACACATGCAAGTCCTTATTTACGATCATGGCAAATGATCCACTTCTAAGGCATTGAGGCTGCTGTGCAGCGTTCGAAATTAGCCAGGCGCCAAGTGCATTTTGCATCTGGCTTTCAACCACTTGCGACCAAGTGAAGATGCCAGGGTGCCAGAATGTTGCTTGACATGTACACCATCTGCAGCTGCAGGGCTGGGGATCTTTGGATCTTGACTATTTTCATACACTCATGCCTTCTCCTATAGAATTCTATCAATCATATTTTATCTGCACAATCCGAATGAATTTCACGAGCCCAAATGCTTTTTCCGTGCAGCCTGAGCAGGAGCTGTTTTCCACCTATCCTATCTTCGCTTCTGGTTTTCTACCTAAAAGAAAACACAAAGCTTTTGCTAATACCCAGTTCTGAAAGCTGCCATAGCAGCAGAATCTCGGATAGATAAGCTAGGTGCCAAATGGCTCCTTATACCAAAGTTACAGTTGCCCACACAGAATATCTAGTTGCCATTTTGAGGTAAAGGTAAAGGGACCCCTGACCATTAGGTCCAGTCGTGACCGACTCTGGGGTTGTGGCGCTCATCTCGCTTTATTGGCCGAGGGAGCCAGCGTTTGTCCGCAGACAGCTTCCAGGTCATGTGGCCAGCATGACTAAGCCACTTCTGGCGAACCAGAGCAGCACACGGAAACGCCGTTTACCTTCCCGCCAGAGCGGTACCTATTTATCTACTTGCACTTTGATATGCTTTCGAACTGCTAGGTGGGCAGGAGCAGGGACCAAACAACGGGAGCTCACCCCGTCGCGGGGATTTGAACCGCCGACCTTCTGATCGGCAAGTCCTAGGCTCTGTGGTTTAACAAACAGCACCACCTGCATCCCTATTTTGAGGTAAGATGGCTCTAAAATCATATTTTTCAAATGATGAACTGACTGTGATTGATTATATCAGTTAAACATCTGCCTAGTTTAGGTGACCACCTTAAGCTAGTTAAGAACTTGAGAGGTCATCAGCCTTCTCTAAATCAGAAGCATTCCCTGGAAAACAGGGACACTTGAAGGGTCTGGAGCTACAGTTCCATACTTGCCAACTTTCCTTATGCTCTGATCTTGTCTCTGTTTTTTAAAACCTTTTGAGATTATCTTGCAAAATTTTTGTTTAGTGTCTAATTCTTCAGGGTTGAGCTCAGTCACCATGGTCTCTAGAAAGGAAATCTCAAGTAAGACGTACATGCTGCCTCTAGAAGCCCCTGCATATAAATGTGCACACACATTAACACCATGGCACCAAGCTGAGCACAGCCTGAGATACATTTTAAACTGAATCACCTACTGGCACAGACACTTAATGGTTTTTCTAAAATATCTTTAACTTAAAAAACAAACAACCCCGCTTTTAAATGAGTGAAGGGCCCAGTGTAGTTTGCAGACAGGCAGAATGTCATTTTCCTGACATTTCCTTACTTGATAATTTCCACATTTTATGTGATCTTTCACTCAACATAGAAGCCACTTCTGGGAAACAAGTCGAAGCTAGTGGAAGTTTAGTTCTCATTTCTATATTATTTTATTTCCAGGGGAAGAAAAAATGTGGAAAATACAGGAGTTTTGCACTGTGAATTCATGTGATGAGCTTGGGGTGGTATTCTGGCATACAATTCTTTCCCACCAATTAAAATGGAGTGTGACATGGTGGCATATCAGTCAAAAAGTCACAGTTCCACAATGCTACAGGTGATGTGGTGTGAAAGGAACATTAGAATCTGGGACAGAAGCACTAGCATTCTAGCATAGGAAAAGGAGTATAGTAAACACTACATCTGAATGCACCCATAGAATAAAGGATTACAAACCCATAGCTATTTCAGCAATGTGTAATGTGAGGAGAAAGCAGGAGAACAGTGGTGTTATAAGCAGGTCCCTGTTTCCATCTTTGAAATGGTGAATTTGCACTGCCCAAATCCATTCCCAAATGTAGACACAATGCAAAAGATACATGACTAAAGGGTGCTTTGAGAACTAAAAATGCACATTCTGCGGCACGCAGGATCCAGAGCTGGGTGAGGCTAGATTAGATCTATGATCACTCACACAATCACTCATGGGGAAGGAAAAAACATGTCTTCCCCATATTGGTGAGTGAAGGTAAGAAAGCCAGCTCTGTTTTAGTAGGTATAGCCATTGAATATAGAATAATAATAATAATAATAATAATAATAATAATAGTATTTGACTGTGTCGACCACAGCAAACTATGGCAAGTTCTTAAAGAAATGGGAGTGCCTGATCACCTCATCTGTCTCCTGAGAAATCTCTATGTGGGACAAGAAGCTACAGTTAGAACTGGATATGGAACAACTGATTGGTTCAAAATTGGGAAAGGAGTACGACAAGGCTGTATATTGTTTCCCTGCTTATTTAACTTATATGCAGAATTCATCATCGAAAGGCTGGGCTGGATGAATCCCTAGCTGGAATTAAGATTGCTGGAAGAAATATCAACAACCTTAGATATGCAGGTGACACAACCTTGATGGCAGAAAGTAAGGAGGAATTGAAGAACCTTTTAATGAGGGTGAAAGAGGAGAGCACAAAATATGTTTTGAAGCTCAACATCAAAAAAACGAAGATCATGGCCACTGGTCCTATCACCTCCTGGCAAATAGAAGGGGAAGAAATGGAGGCAGTGAGAGATTTTACTTTCTTGGGCTCCATGATCACCGCAGATGGTGACAGCAGCAACGAAATTAAAAGACGCCTGCTTCTTGGGAGAAAAGCAATGACAAACCTAGACAGCATCTTAAAAAGCAGAGACATCACCTTGCCAACAAAGGTCTGTATAGTTAAAGCTATGGTTTTCCCAGTAGTGATGTATGGAAGTGAGAGCTGGATCATCAAGAAGGCTGATCGCCGAAGAATTGATGCTTTTGAATTATGGTGGTGGAGGAGACTCTTGAGAGTCCCATGGACTGCAAGAAGATCAAACCTCTCCATTCTGAAGGAAATCAGCCCTGAGTGCTCACTGGAAGGACAGATCCTGAAGCTGAGACTCCAGTACTTTGGCCACCTCATGAGAAGAGTAGACTCCCTGGAAAATACCCTGATGTTGGGAAAGATGGAGGGCACAAGGAGAAGGTGATGAAGAGGACGAGATGTTTGGACAGTGTTCTCGAAGCTACCAGCATGAGTTTGACTAAACTGCGGGAGGCAGTGGAAAACAGGAGTGCCTGGCGTGCTCTGGTCTATGGGGTCACGAAGAGTCGGACACGACTAAACGACTAAACAACAACAAATAGTAGTAGTAGTTATTTATACCCCACCCATCTGGCT